CTCGAACCGAAAAAGCAAATTTCGGCCAAGCCACACCAATGGAACATGAACCCCTTTGATCATAAACTTAACCCTTAGGTGAATTCTCCTAGCAACCTAGTTTGAGAGAGATGATGGATTATCTTTCTACTAAACCTTAAAACCCTTAGCTGCAAATTCATATTTAAGAGATACGAGAGAAGAACTCCATAACCTAAACCCTTAAGTTCTTTCACAATGTGAGAGAGAGACCAAATATGAGAGAGTGATGCATGCCCCTTTTTTGGGATATGAGAGAGAAATATGAAAATTAGATACAAGAGATAAGGAAAAGAGATTTTTGAGTAGAGACAATCCATTTTTATAGGCTTTGAATAAGGTTAGGGTTTCTTAGGGTTTTTTTTAGCTTGCCTCTTCTTATGAGATTGAACATAAACTGTCGATCAAGGGTAACTTGTGGGGTGAGAGATCTGAGTCATCTATTCCATATATGGGCCATCAACATTATGGAAGGTGCATGAACCATTATCCCTCTTTTCTAAACCATTTCCCCATCAATATATTTAAATAAAATAAATATCATCCATTCTATAAAATTGCATGATCCATGTCACATATTCCATAAGGACATGTCAAATAATATCAAGTAGATAAATACTACCAAATATAAATAAGTTAAGATCCATATCAATTCAAATTGACCATATCTATTCAAAACAAACTTGCTGCAAAATAGAAAAAGCCATGGTCAATATATTCTTTCCAAGATTTGACCACATGCCACAAATCAAACTAACTTTATCTTAAAAGCAAACAAGAGAATCCAAAGAGGGTGGGGCATGCTACCCTTTTGCGGCACATGTGGGGCCCCGCCCACATGCCACATAGTGGGCCCATGTGCACTATGGGCCCCCATGGAATATTATAAAAAATATTATTTTAAAATTTGAATAAAATAATTTAAAATATATATTTGAAGTTTTTATAACTTTGTAATAACAATAACTGTATTTTTATAAGTCAAAAAATTACAAATAAAATATTGAGAGATTCATAAAAATTTAAATAATAGAACTGAAATCATTTCAATAATAAAATGAACACAATTAAATTAATATGATAGGAAAATGATCCATATGGTTTTAAGAATCCAATATGTAATAACGGGGTACTCCACCTTCAACTGTGGACTACAGACCACACTAACTTTATCGAACCGACCCAGTGTTTTCCATAACCCACAGTCCAAATAGGGGCTCATTAACGGGTCACCAAAGTCAGGTCGATGAATCAAGGAGTCACAATCTCAGTCTGTGGATTACATGTCCTCCCTTAAAGACGAGTCAAGGTCTCCACGACTTGATCCGACCACAATTCTATGATGCATAGGGGTATCTCTCGCACATGCATACGCATATGGCTTTCCCGAACGATCTATCAATATGCATGCCGTGTAATGGAACATGGATGAGGTTTTGGCCCCCGTCTCAGTAGGCCACCATCACACATAAGGGTCACACAGTCTGTCGGCTCATTCATCCAGACATGTTCTCCGACATCATCAAGGGCTAACTCATAAACCCTCATCGATTTGTTCTTTATGCCCAAGTAACATGGGTTTTTCCCAGCCGACTGGCCTAGATCGTTAAATACAAATCGGTATCAGCAAACCATCGTTTGCTTAGTATGGTCCACGAGGGACCACACTCACACTGAGTTCATGTTCCTCTATATCATTTCATTTTACAACCACTCACAGGCCTTTAAAGGCCACATAAACCCAACAAAGGACCCGGACCTGGATCCTTACCCAAATAGTGCTTGGGTCCAAGATTTGGACCCAGATCCGACTCGTCAGGTCCAATTTTTGGACTCATACCCATAACAAATTCTAGTCTACCTATTAGGTCTTGGGTCGTGTCTAGGTCCATTGCTACCCCTTGCTCGAACCTCTTTCCACCCTCACAAACCTGTAACATCTCTCTTTCCCTCTACAAACTCTACACATGACCTCTATGATCCCTTAAAGCCCTGAGGATCATCCGAAACACATAGATTAGTAGTGAGCTTCATTGCCTCAAAATCATTTTCCTATCCAAGCAAGGAACTCAAAATTGAGCGGCTCTGGCTTGATCCTCCAACAAACAATGGGAACGGTCCCCTTGTATCGATAAATTCTAACTCGCGCCACCAATTCCGAGTGCTGGGCCTATGGACCCAACTTTGCCCATATAAGTCTACAATACCTACTTTTCTTTATTTAAATGTTTATTTTATTTTTTATTCTATTTCTAAGATATTTTTTAAAATCTCCCCATTTTCCCTTAGTTTTCTAAAATTTATTTATTTATGTGGTTTTTAGGCGATTTTTAGCTAGCATAGCCAGTGGACCACCAAACAAGCAACCATCGGATCATTTTTCTTTTATGGTTTGTAATTTGACAGAACCTAGTTTCTACCTATGAATGGGCAAGTTTAAATGGAAAATTAGACAAAAATATTATTTTTGCCAAAATTTTGCTTATAAACAAGTACACAATGATCATTTTCTCTCGGAATAAGGTCACAACACCACCTTTAGTTGCACAATAAGGTGGTGGCTGTGCGCCATTCGCCTAACTTAACGTTTTTTAAAAAGTAAAACTTTGAACTTTAAGATTCTCTTGTAGGTATCATATTTTATATTGGGATTGTATACTATGAGATCACTTATCTTCAATACAAGAAGATAAATCGATGACGTATAGTTTGACCGATGATATGATCCTTGATACAACATAATGGTAAGACATGATTTATGTATTCGACCCCAAATGTTTAAGAAATGGCTTGGATGATATTTTTAAATATAAAAAAATAAAGCAGATTTTTTTCAAATTTTAAATCTAAAGTCCATTTGTCATGAAGTAATTGTTAAACAATATATGGAGTAGATTTACCAATGGGGCTCCCTTCTACATACATTCATAGCCATCCAACTTTATCTTGTACGATGATGCCTAAATAGAGCTTCTTTTATGTTCCCTTTCGTTGAAGTACTAAATGAAAATAAAATTTGTGGTAACTTTTCCCCTCATGATTGAGGGGATACAGTACGTTGTACTTCCGTAAAATTAGTGAATCGCAATCACATGAATGAAAATTTTATCATCGAAATTTTACTTAGGTTATGTCAAGCATAGCCATTGCTTATTCACATGTTTTTTTTTTAAAATGTGGACTTTACTTTAATCAAAACTACTCTCTTCATTACAATAATTTAACAAAAATTTAAGGGCCCGTTTGGTTTTTTGGATATGAGTCTCCTATGGGTGTGTATAGGAGACTCATTTCCAGAGATACCAGCCATTTATTGTGTTTAGATGAACTCTCTATGCGGGAGACCAATTTTATCATATATATAATGAGATAATGTGCCGTGTGGTTTGCATAAGGTTGCAACCTTAAACAATTGTATTAAAGCGTCGTCCAAATTTTATCATAAATATAATTTCAGCATTAAAAATTCTTAAGATGGCTTGAGAATTTATTTGGATCTCCAAGTATAAAATTTCAAGAGTTAATTACATATGGACCTTAAATAAGTTAGAAAAATACGAGTTGCTCCTTTTAGAAAAATACAAGTTGCTTCCTTTATACATAAAAAAAAAACTTACGTTTCGGTCCGAGAATGCCATTTTCAGATCACAACTTTAAATTTTGAAAAAAAAAAAACAAAAAAAAAACAGTCCAGGGATGAAAAAACTTAATTTTATTAAAAAAAAAATCGCGTTGACCGATATTGATTGTAATTTTTGTTATAAAGAGAGCAACTCGTATTTTCCTAACTTATTTAAGGTTCCAACATAAATAACTCAAATTTTAAACTCCATAAATGGTTAGTAGATCTATAAAGAAATGAGTAGATCTATAAAGACATGATAATCTAGAAAATGAACAACCTAAATAATATGTTGAGAGATACACTATATTTGGGACTCGAAATCTTTTTTATTTATTTTTATATTAATACATTCCGAGGTTGAGATGATCAATTAAAGGGTTTTCTAACATCAAAATAGCCTTTTATGATAGGCTTTTGAGGTGCACATTAATTCTACATTTTAAGTTGTAATTTTATATAAACTATTGGGAAAATTATAGATATCTTAAAATGAACTTTCTAGACATCCTAACCCCCAATATTTTTTCTCTCATACCCTAAACCCCGACATTGGTTTTTATTGAATTTACCTATCCAGTCAAGAAGTCGACAAGTTAAAAACAAAAATGCCCTTGCCCCCTCTACACAAACCAAAATACTACACATGTTAGCTTTTTGAACTCCCTCTCATGTTCTCTCCCTATTTTTTATGTATCTACTTTTTTTTTTCTCTCTACAGTCATTTATCTCTTTATTTGCTTGTTATCTCTCTCTACATGCCATCTCTTCTTCTCTCTCTCCTCTTGCAAAAAAAAATTCGGTCCGACACACTAGGTATCGAACCGCCTTAAATGGACATAGGCTTCTTTGGCACACTAGATGTTGGATCAAAATTTTTTTTGTGGTCAGACCATTATAGAGGTTTCTCTGGATCAATACATGGCTAGTGTACAGGACTACCTTAGAGGTACAAAAGGCAAGTAGAGAAAGAGGATGGGTAGACAGAGGAAGTGAGAGGGTAGGTAAAGAGAGAAAATGAGATAGTGGAGAGGAGAGTTATAATGAGCAGAGAAAGAGAGTGTGTAGAGAGAGTTCAAAAGGCCGAAATGTGTCCGATTGTTGTTTGCATAGAGAGATGGTAAGGGCATTTTCATTTAAATATGTTGTTTCTTGATTGAAGGATAAATACAAGAAAAAAAAACGTTGGGCGATAGGATTTTTTAAAATTGATTTTGAAGTACCTATAATTTTCTTTGAATTTTTTCCGTATTTAAAATAGATTCTACATGGGACAACGTAGATTTTAAATAGAGGCGCATGTGTTATATATATGAGTAGGCTGACTCGTAGAAACCTGTCCATATTCCAAAGAGGAGATCCGAACAGGCCTTTCAGGGACATCTCCGTAATTACTGTGCATTTAAATCTCCTCGTATAAAGAGAAATAGAAGCGTCCCTTTGTGAGTGTTGAAATGGCGGGAGAAGCTGAGGAACTCATTTCAATATTCCGCTCCCAACTCATCCTCAAGCGGTTTTCTCTCTAACTTTTCATCTCTCTCTCACTACATTCTCTCTCATTCGCAGGTCTCTCAATCTAAGTTTTTCTGGATCTCTGCCATATAGGCCTGAGAAATTCCTTGCACTGAACTAAAATTTTTATTGATCTTTATTGTTATTTAGGGCAAAAACTTTACAAACCCTTGCCATGGATACTGAGAAAATGTTGCTTTTGTTATTATATTTGCAGCTATGACGATTCGACTCTTAGGGTTTTGCATACTATCATGCACTCGAAAGATGTAGGGCTTTTGCTCTCTGTTCGATCTCTTGTAAGGGAGATTTTGCAATCTACTGCGTTTGAAAGCCTTAAAGGAGTGGAAGTTTTGGAGAAAACAGTTGAAGAAAAGCTTCAAATTATAGGTTTCTTTGTCCATGCTTTCGCTCTTGCAGGGGATGTTGAGGTCTTGTTTTTCCTCTCTTTGCTTATTTTGCATTCGAAGATGTGAAGTTTTGTTAATGCATCTGTGAATTTATTCCCTGACATTGATTTTCTTTAATTCAGTTTTTCATACTATCTCTATGCAACAAAATTAACATTAGAGTTGAGAAAATGGAAATATGAAAAGTGGAAATGGTTGATGCTTCACTTTTATCAGTTTTTTGATGATTTTATAGTCTTTCTAGGCAGAACAGAGGGAGATATATCTCAAAACACTCAAAAAATGAGTCCAAACTATTTTGTCACTTCACAAATTCTTCCCAGTTTTTTTTGTGTACTTAATTTTCTCATGTTTTCATTATCTTAATCCCAGTTTTCTATTTTTCTTTTTATTTCCCTCTTGTATTTGATCTCAAAAGAAAGGGGCGTCAGCTTAAGAGCATGGTAATCAGTGTTTTTGTACATTATCTAACTGAATTGGTTGTTTGAATTATGTACTTCAATGTTGCTTATGATTGCAGGGGACGTTTTTAGCATCTAATTCATAAGTTATGGATTTTACTTACAGATGTTGGATATGAATTTTTTTTTTATTAGGATGTGCCCTTTGTTTGTTGAACATTGTGTTAGCTTTATTGTTTGGTTGTAGATGATTTTTCTACATTGAACTAGGGGATTAAAATTGATGATTATCAATTCCAACTGTGAATGTGTTTTTGGTCATCACTTTCTTTTTAGCTTAAAGGGATTTTGATTGGCATTGTAGGTTTATATACCCGAACTGCCGCTTTAAGAGCTGGAATCATTAGTATTTGAAGCAATTTAGCTTTTGACATTTCCATATTAAAATGGCGGTCTTGATGATACCATAGATCCTTGCTTTATTTTTTAACAAAGAATAGCATGAACATTTTAGTAGCCTGCATCTATTTTATCGATTTTGGCATATTCTCAAGGATGCATAACTTTGTGGAATTCGCTCACATCTGCCAACTTAGTCTTGTTTGTTCTCCATATGTTAATGTTTTACTCAACAAAAATTTTCAATTACGATTCACTTTTCAATGTCAGCATAGATGCATTTTCTTAATGCTTCACGGTTGTTGCTGATCACATTCTTCATAAGTTATTTTTTCTGATGAACATTTTTGATCAATTCAAGTTATCTTGCAGAATTCCCTGGCATTGAAATACGAGGCTTTGGTTTTACGAGATCATGTTTTTGTGAATAGTCCTCATTTGCAAGTTTCATATGATGAGTGGTTAAAGTTTGCTGAAGATTCACTGAACAATGGATTTTATTTAAATGCAATCCAGGTGATGTTTATCTTTTACATCTGTTTTGTATTTTGCATAATGACAACTCACAGGGTCAATTATCTTCAGATTCTATTTTAGAGAAACTTATTAGGCTTTATTTTCCATTGTAAAGATTCGAAATATGATTTATCTGAACATCTTGAATTACTATTACTGATTTTTTTGTTTCTTCAAAACATGAGTCCATTTGATTCTGTATTTCTACTTGTAAAAGGGGCATGTTTCCTTGGATCTTGTTTCCACTTGAAAACTGTGTGACTACAATTGTATGTTGAACACCAAGCTTTAAATATCAAATTATTATTTATAGCATGTAGTCTGGTAGATTGCTGAACGCTTTGACATTCAATTTATACATTTTTCTCCATGTATTTTGTCTTCTTTTCTATTGCTAGGAGTCAGCAAGGGTGGTTTTATATAGTATTGTACAAGCCTAAGCACAAAATTCTCATTCTTCATGATGGATATGCAATTCAAACACCAGGCAATATGGAGATCTTTCCTTAGATTTGGACCGTTTGGTTAATGCCGCTCTTGATTAATCTTTAACTTTTAGCTTTAGGCTTGAGGTCTCTCCTAAACAGAAATATGCGAGTGTCTTTGAGAGATAGAGAACTTCACGCGTGTGTTAAGATCTTATCGTAATTCTACAAGTAACTCTTTTAGCATTACCAGGATTGCACTGGTCATCAAACTGATAAGTGGTTAGTCTGTGCTTGGATTGTTGATATTGGTGCTCTATAAATTATCAGGGAAATAAATGTCTTAAGTTTGTTATTGCTTAATTTCAAAGAAAAGTTGTGAAAAACACAAGAATATGAGCTTTGTGTGGTAATTTTGTTACAATAACATTCATAGAGGAGTGCATATGGGCATATGATTTTGCTACAGTGAAAAAGAATGGAGTTGGCTGCATGGGGTTTCAATAATACAAATTATACTTGGTTTAACAGGGAAGTTTAAGGCTACTTATTAGAAGAAATTATACAAATTTGAGGCTCTTTTACTCACTCTGTGTGCTTTATCTTAATGTTTTCTATTGTTAGAACTTCTTGTTTCAAAACTTATTAAGGATGACATCCAAATTCAGGGTTTTATTGACTTCTTTTCAATGCTTGAACAGTTTCACATGCAATATGTCTTGTGTTATATCATATTACTTTTTGATTTGACATTATGAACTGTGGCGAGGAGTTTTCCGGCTGAGAGTTCTAGCAGCGCGAGGACTCCGGTAGTGGTTTTGTAACAGAGGAGTGAGAAGTGCCGGCGAGCACAGGGATTCCGACAGTGATTCTGGGGTGCCAGATCCCTATTCGGCAAAAACCAACTTCTACCAAACCCACTCAAACCACTCAGCCCGTGTCGGTTGTATTGCAAAACCAGCCGACACCTAAGCCTGCTCCATCTAACCCTACTCCACCCAAGCCTACATCACAACCTACCATCCCTCCTAAGCCTGCGACAGGATCAGGGTACAAAAGGGCAAAGATGACAAGGTGAAGTACGATTTGATCGGGCACTTGAGGAAGCTTCTGGCCCTTCTCAGTATTTACGACGCCCACTTGGTTTCAAGAGACTATCAGACGGCTCTGATCCAAGCTCTCTCCAATCCAGAAGTGTATGAGACCGAAGTTGAGCCCATCAAGGTAGACCCGGCAATTCTAAGCGGCTGTTTGGCAATCACCTTTTCAAAGGATGACCTTCAATTGGGAGAAAAGTTTCACAATCGCTCTCCCTTTGTGACGGGTGAATCGCATGCATGCCCTATCAATCGAATCATGTTGGATGGAGGATCAGCTGTCAATCTTATCTCGAGAAGGATTCTCACTCAATTGGGATTAGGATCTGAAGACCTCACTCAACCTCACATCACAGTCCAGGGGTTCAACCAATCGAGAGAGAAGCCAGCAGGTACAATTCGTCTTCGCCTCAAAATTGGTGAATTAAATGATTACGCTCAGTTTCATATGATCAACACTGACACTTCGTACAACATCCTTCTCGGCCGCCCTTGGTTGCATGACCAGGGGGTAATTCTGTCCACACTGCATCAATGCTTCAAGTATTGTCGGGATGGGAGACAGTAAATGATCTATGTTGACAAAAGAACGTTTCCTGTAGCTGAGTCACATTATGCTGATGCAAAGTACTGCTTCACAGAACCGATGTCATCCCAAGAGCCCAATGATGATGACCGGGAAACTGTAAGAAAGACAGAACTCTCACCCCATGAAGATGTCGAGGACATGTGACAGATGCTCACAGACATGTTCAAAGAAGAGGCAAGGCAGGGCAAGATTCTCCCCTTAACCCCGATTCATTCTAATTTTCCCTGTTCCGTCCTGGAAGCAACATCATCCCTTCCCAAAGATGACAACCTCACCTCCTCTTCGAGCCTTGAGTTGCTTGCCAAAAATGATGAACCAGAAGACGTTCTCGAGGCAACAGAAGCCATGGGGATTGACTTCCTGACCCCAAAGGTCACGTACACGCCAGACCACCAAAAGTTCTTGCATGTCCCTATTGCACTTCTGGAAGCAGAACAGATACAGCAGCCACCACTAAGGATACTGCAAATCCCGGCTTCCTTGAGCAGGGAAGACTCTTCGCGTCCCACCACAGGGTCAGCTTAGACCAGTAGCCAGCCGAAGGTCTTGCGCTTCCCGGATTCTTTAGAAGAAGAAAGGTCAGAAGAAGAATAACTCTCTCACTCTCAAGAGCAATATACCTTGCTAATTTAGAAAGCGAAGTTCAGAGTATCCAAAATCTATTGATAGTCATATAAACTGCTTCAAAACACTTGAAGGAGTTCATACTTGAGACCAAGAGCTATGATGAGCTCAAAGGGAACGTGCCTCGAATAGAAGCTAAAGCCCATCCGAATTGGAGTATTTACAGTGACAAGGCTCATGTCACTATGAGAACGATGAATTACAAGCCTCTCGCTAACCAAACATTAAGAGGAGAGAAAGTGACTACTACTCCATTTGAGGTCATTGAAGCCACGGCTGGTTGTCACAAACAAAAGCAAGGCATTGGATATCCTGTCTCATCTCCCTCATTAAAGGTTCAGAGACAATAAAACGAGGGTCACCCAAGGAGAAAAACCCAAAGAAGCATAAAAGAAGAGAATGAGATAGAAAGAAGAAAATAGGTATTTCATTGACTAAAAAGTGTCAATGAACAAAGAAACAAAAGGGAGATAGGATGGCATCCTCAAAAGCGATCACGGATGTCATTAATCTTCACCAGACATGCTTCAGAAGATACTTTGGCCTGTTCAATGCTCCACTTCAGATTGAGCACTATCTGGGCCTCTTGCTTCAATAGAGCAGTCTCCTCCTCCAGAGAATAATCAAGAGTCGATAGCTACTCAGCAAGAGCTGCGTCTTCAGCCTCCCAAGCTTTTGTCTCAATCTCTAGCCCCTTGAACTCCTTCGTCAGCCTCGCTATTTTAGCCTTCAAGACAGTCATCTTGTTATGGCGAGCGACTGCCCCTTCAGTGAGGTTTGACCTTCGAGAGGCTGTGGCTTCCCTCTTCTGTGTTTGGGCCTCTACAGATTCGCGACGACGCATGAGGGAGGCCTCCAATGAAGCCAACTGAGAGTTCTCTAGCTACCGCACAGTTGCTTCTTGTTGTAAGGCCTTGAGTCTCCACCCTTCTACCTCATTCAAGATGCTATCAAAATAAGGAAGGATCTCTCCCTCATCCCCTAGAAGAGCAAGCTGCCTTAGGTTTTGAGATGCATCATCAAGTTCAGCTAAGGGAAGTCCCTTCATCTTTTGAGCACCAAGACGGAGCATGTCGATGATTATGCCGGGCACCCCGCCAAAATTTGGCCTGGGAAGAGTGACAAAGGTCCCTGCAACAGAAGCAGTCTCGACCTCTTAGGCTGAGGTAGAAGGGACAATTGCCATGCTCGTGACCACCTCCGCTGGAGAAATCATAAAGCTCGAGGCCCCAGGCTCCTCAGATGTAGAGCAGGCCTCAGTCCCAGGTTGCCCGGAATCCTTAGCATTATTCCCCTCTTTTGGACCGTCACTCATGGTCCTTCCGTCAACCTCCTTTGCCTGGTCTTCTGGAGCCGCTGTTCCTGCCTCAATATGCTCGGCCTCCACAACACCAATTTCCTCTTCTGAACCCTTACCCTCTTGAATTGCCATGCCAGCTTCGGCAGGTTCAAGGCCGACTCCTTCCCCTGGGTCCGCCATTTCAGTTTCGGCCACGACTTCTACCTGGCCTGCATCCTCTGCAGCCAGAGCCTCCGCCACAAAGCGCTCTATTCCTTCATCCTCAGGATCTGCGCCTCCTTGGGCCACTGCCTCTGGACCCTCAAGACCTTCCTCTTGAGAATGGCTTGGGTCTGCGTTCACCATGGCCTCATCATCAACATCTCTTGGGGCAGCCACCTCCCGGAGCTCAGCTTTGGGCTCCGCCCTCGCAGGACTGCTCGGGCCGTCCGTGACCTCATCCCTCACTGCACCCGGGGCAGCAGACCCTTGTTGCTCAGGCATCCTGTCTATCTCAAGCTTTCTCCCTGAACCGCTTCAAGCTCAGGCGTCACCTCTTGATCGAAAGCAACGATGATGGGGCTAGGAGAGCCTACGTTATCTGCCTCAGTCTCTGAAGAAGCAGAGAATAGCTCAAGGGAGGAAGAAGACGATGAAAAAAAAGCAAAGGGTGACTCGGAACGACTAGCAAATGATTCTGAGGAGACAGAAGACAAAGAGCTAACTGACGGCTCCCGAATGATGAAAGCATGCCACTGCTGCGTTTTTGAGGACGCATGGTAGCACGAGGTGGTATGGGAGAAACAGTCGGGGTGATTCAACGTCTGAGAGGTAGCCTTCTTCCTGTTAGTGACTGAGACGGCGACGCTGATCACCCCTTTCTGCTGGTTGCCCTGGGCATTAGTGCGGGAGCTACTGCTGCCCCTCAAGTCGACGGCAATAAGCAGCAGTCGTACAATCGGGTCCCACCTCCTAAAAACCAAAACCGAAGTGATTTCTGGACCAAACATCAAAACAAGGTACCCGTTTGAGAACGACTGGGTACTCGCATTGTTATGACTCTTGATAGAGCAGAGCATGATCATGCTGCAGGAGATTAAATTCCCCGATTGAGCTGAGCAGGTCACGCATGCAAAGTAATGTGCCGAATGTTGTAGAAAAGTTCATCTGGTCAGAGAAGCCAAATTCCACTCTTAGAATAAATTTGGGGGCCTTTCATCTAACATTAGTTTTCACATTGGTTGAATTTTAAGAATCTCTGTAAAGGATAGTGGGATTATTACCTAGATTGAAAATATTTCTAAAATGCAGCAAGTTGATTTCGAACTCACTCGAATTGACTTCTCTCACTATTCTCCATGAAGGCTTGGCTAATTCTCTGACTCAATTTCGGCTATGCCGAGTTGCAATCGGGGTTGGTCTCTAAATTGTCTCTAGATCTAATTCCCACTCAAACCTATAGATTATGGAAGGTCTGAACACACATTGAATGTCTTGTGGAGATTTGAAGGACAATTTTGCTGAAATTTCTGAACAGGCTTCAATCCTCTTGTGACAGATTTACTGTTTTCCTTGGTTAAGGCATTCTTATGATTTATCTAAGCTTCATACCATCAGAATGGTCTATGGAAGAGGCTTAACTTCATCGGCTCCAAATAGTCTTTGGGCTGCTGAGACTTGTTCGACGATGATCATAGTCGTGGCATATAACAAAATAGGGACTATTCCTCCTTTTGTGCTTGGCTATCTCTAGTGAGAGAGAAAACCCACCTGTGGCGAGTTGGATGACGAACACAAATTTCATTAGATCTCCAGCCTAGCATGCCTTTTCATGCTGAGAAAATCCCAGTTGATCACAACATAAAACTATTGGATTTCTTAGCTTGTGGCTGCCCTTATGGGCGAGCCAAAGAGTGTAGCCATCATCCCCTCAAATATTCGTCATTGCCTCCTTACTTACCATGTTATTGAAATAGTCATGAATCAGGTAAGCTTTTCATTCTATGTGATTTTGGGGGAGAAGCTCGCTTAGGGGATGCCATTCTCAGTCAGAACAAGTCCAATAGCATGACAAATCAAGTTAAGTTATTGAGAGCTCGAGATTTTATCTTCATGGTATGAAAATTGAGAAATCATTGCTATTACGGGGAAGATCTGAGCACCATCAGCTGTCAGGGAATGATACTTTCAAATTATATTGCAGAATTCTGATTGCACTAGATGAGGTTACATTGTGTTGGACAGGTCACATCTATCATCTAAACCTGGAGATGCACTTACCATCTGTGTGGTTTACTCATATCTGCTCTGTCACAGCTTGTTCAAATCGAACTTGGATGGAAATTCAAGGCAAAATGTGGATCTATCAAGTGACTGAGGATTGTTAATAGTGCCCAAACAATGCCACTCTTGGCGAATCATTTTCTCATAGGACCATAGTATTTTGGTCGAATGTAGATTTTGATGTTAACGCAATTGGCTGAAGTTCTCAAGGTCAAGTAGGCCATGCTTTGACTCATTTCTAATTATCGTAGATGCCTTCAAATGACAGTGTTGCATATAATTTGTGAGGGACTGCTGTTGCAAATAGGGGTGAACCTAGAGCACAACAGTGTCCAGTTCTCAGTGCAACCTTGGACCCGTTGCAAGTTTGGTAGTATTTATAACGTTGACTATCAAGTATCATGTGTCCTGTATGGTGTAGGACTAGCTTATCAACATTTTGTGGTTACTTTAGTGGTGCACTTCCCTACCTTTTAAATTCTTCATTACCCTCGGGGAATGTCTGTTTCCAATTTCACTTACACAATGTCCTCTATAACACAATATTACTGTTAGAAAACAAATTAAATACTGAATTTCCAAAGCAGGAGAAATCATTGGTTGAATTGCCAAAGAAGGAGAGATCATTGGTTTCAAGACTTCAGGAAAATTATTTGAGAGTTTTCATGAACACTTGAGAAATTTTGTAAGACTTTGTATTCCTCCTCAAAAATCATTTCCCACTATCGAAATTGCATGAAGGTTATTAAGAATATCTTTCTGGTACATGATTTTCATAGTATGTATTTTTTCCTAGTTGTTGTTGTGTTTCTTTCTTATAGAAAATTTTATATTAATGCAGTGAAGCTTAGGCTATAGAAGAAACTTATTACTTAAATTTTGCAATGTGGCTCAAATATTGATTAAATTTTTTTGGAGCTAATATCCTGGATTCATTCCTTCCCTTGAGCTCTCCTCAGTTTGTACAAATTATTTTATGGCTATATTCTTTAAAGAAAGTTATTTGGTCATAAATTATCTTGTGCGTGTTATTGACTTGAGGATAGAGCCAGTTGCACGCTTGTGGATCCATTTTCAAAATAGGTCATGTCCTTTTCTTTTATTTTTCTCCATGGTCTTAAACAAGTTTGTTATTTATATATGGTTATCTTGTCTTTCTATTTCTTGGCAATTTTCACTTTGAATCTGTGTAGGCATCTGCTGGTGAAAATTATGGAGGGAACTTATTACTTTGACATGCCGTTGGAATGAGTCACAGATAATATCCTCATTATATTTCTGAGAAAGGTTTGTAGAGTTTGCCACTACTGATATTTTTGGGCAATATTTGAAAGGCTGTTTTCTGATGCTTATTTGGATACGGCTTCAAATCATGATCTTCTCTTTAGCTTT